GCCAAACGCGTGCGAAGGGGGACGGGACGGCTTAGAGCTGCTCACACTCGAGGCGGGCTGGGATCCCCTGGGGAATCTTGCTTGTCGAAGCCGCAGGTTCCAGCCGGGCGCGGTGGCGCACGTCTGTAGTCCCAGCACTTTGGGAGGCCGAGGCGAGAGGACTGCCTGAGCCCAGGGGTTAGGGACCAGCCCGGGCAACTTGGTGAGACCTCGTCCCTACAATAAATCAAAAAAGTAGCTGAGCGTGGTGGCGCACGCCTGTGGTTCCATCTCTTCCGGAGGCTGAGGCGGAAGGATCGCCGGAGCCCAGCAGGTCGAGGCTGTGGTGGCCGTGAGCGTGCCACTTGCACTCCAGCCTGGGTGACAGTGTGAGACTCTGAGCCACCCCCAAAAAAGACGCAGGTTTCCATTCAGTGGGTCTGGGGTGGAACCACGACTCTGCATTTCTAACCAGCTCCCAGGCTCTGAGGGTCTCTGGACCACGCGTGGATAGAAGGCTCTGACGAGCCCCTCTGACCCCACTTCCTCAGCAATAGCAATTGTACCAACTCCATTTCGTTGTGACTTTCTTCTCTCCCCATTATTTTGAAGCAAAACGCAGGCATCATATCGTTTTATCTGCACATATTTTTTGTATCTCTAAAAGAACGATTTTTAAAAAAATCCATAACCAAAAATCATTCTTAAACCTAAAATGAATAGAACTAATGCCAAATAGTTACGCAGATTCAAGTGTCCGTTTTGGTTTTTTGTCTGTCATGTTAAATGGAGACAGGGTTTAGCTGTGTTTCCCAGGCTGGACTCCAACTCCTGGGCTCAAGGGATCCTCCCTCTTCAGCATCCTGAGTGGCTGGGACTACAGGCGCCTGCTGGTTTCAATGTCCAGTTTTGAACACAGTTTTTGTTAGCTTCCTAATGCCCTGTGAGGGCAATGACAAACCAGGGCCATCAGCCACCTGTGTTTGGGTGGCTTGTGCAGCCCCAAGGAGATTCTGTGCTCAAATCTCAAAGGCCCCAAGGAGCAAGGTCGGGGGCATAAAATGGCCACAGGAGCTCTGGATACCTAACCTTTCTTGGCCAACCCCTCTCTGGCCTGGGGGTGGGGCTATGGAGGGGGTGGAGTGGGATATTGTCCAGCCTCAGCCTTCCAAGCAGCTGGAACTACAGGTGCGTGCCACCATGCCCAGATAATTTTTTGTACCTGACTTCTTCCCCTCTCCACCCACCCACCCTTCCCCAGGAGTGGCCTCCGGCCAAGGTTAGTGTCTGAAGAGTATGCATATTCCCAGTAATGAGTCGTGGGATGCAGGTGAGCCATCAAAACTGAAAACAATGGAGTTATTACACTTAATCAATGTAATTGTACACACCATATAGGAATTTGAATGACTAGCTTGATTGCTTTGACTACAAAACTACTTGGTAGGCTGCCCCTGGGTGTGGATTCTTCATTGCCTCTGGCTTTAATGTGGATGCTTTTTGGTGTTTTTGTTTGTTTTGAGTTGGAGCCTCACTCTGTTGCCCAGGCTGGAGCACCCGGGGCATGTTCATGACCACCACAACCTCGACTTGCTGGATTCAGGTGATCGCTCCACCTCAGCTTTCCAAGCAGCTGGAACTACAGGTGTCGGCCACCGTGCCCAGCTAATTTTTTGACTTCCCATGGAGACAGGTCTTGCCAAGTTGCCCAGGCTGGTCTCTAACCCCTAGGCTCAGGCAATCTGCTCTTCTCCACCTCCCAAAGTGCTGGGGTTACAGGCGGGAGCCACCATGCCCAGCTAATACTGATTTAATAAATGAATAACCTTCCCTGCTGTACCTCTGGGCGACTTCTTTGGAATAGGTAAACACTACGTGAAAGCCCTCTCAGATTTGGAGTTGCTGCGTGACAGGTGTGGCCACTTGCTTCCCTTTGTCAAGGAATGAGGAGGTGTCTTGAAAGAGGAAAGGAGCTTGCTAGCTAGTGGCCTACAACAAGCTGGGAGGTCTGCCGTCGGGAGTCTGTACCCCACGAGCTGTACCCCAGGCCATCCCATTGCACCAGGCACAGTCTGGAAGCCTATTGTCGGGTGGGGTGCAGGGATCACACTACAATGCCCCATAGGTATTTCAGGCAGAGACTCTGTCTTATTTATCTTTAGCACACAGTAGGATATCAGTAAATGTGTGGGGAATGAGTGGAAAAGTCAGCCCATTAGAAGTAAAAATATACTGGGGGTGCCAAATAATATATATCCACATTTTAAGAGTTGTTATCTATGTGTTACTTCCAGTTCGCAGTAGTCAGAAGTGTCTGGATGCTGATGGTAACCACTTTGAGCACCTCTTGTCATTGCAGAGATCAAGTGTGATTTTGTATTCATCTTTTGTTCTTGGTATATATTATTACCATTTTAATACAGTTTTTTCCTTTCTTAAAATGTGCATACACTTTTTTGGCACCCTCTGTGTATATATTTAATACACGCTTGTGTTTGCCACGTGACAGTCATTACTCTAAGTGTTTTCCATACAGCTCACTTAGGCCGGGTAAGAGGTCCATGAGTCAGTATTATGATCATCCTCATTTTAGAGAGGAGGAAGCTGCAGTACAGAGAGGTTAAGTCATCTGCCTAAGGTCACACAGCTGGTAGGGACAAGGCAGAGCTGGGTGAAGAAGCTAGAACGGCCTGGTTCCAAAGTCCATGCTCTTGGCGGTGAGGCGACTTAGGGTCTCACAGCTAAGAGGCTTGGCTCCTTACAGGAAATGGCCTCGCCCACATCATGTACACCTGTCTACTGATCAACCTTCCGTACCTCCCGCCCTGGGGTATCCGACTTATTCCCCACCCTCCTCCCTGCCCCACCCCCTACTCCATCCCTGAGACCCCCCTGGGAGGAGAAGGGAAGGGGTTACAGCCTGGGAGTGCTGCAGGAGTTTCTGACCTTTGGGGTTGGTGGCACCGGCAGAAGGCACCCTGATTCTGGAGTTGGGTGAGATCCTGGGAGCCAGATTGTAGGGCTGGGTGCAGGCAAGAGACAGTTGTTTGGGAGACTCAGATTTCCTTCTTGGCGGGGATTCAGTAAGGAAAGGGGCTGAGATTTGGACCCGTGTCAGGGCTGGTGCCCCTCCACAGTGTGGCTCAAGCACCTGAGTGTGGCCGGGAGGCCAGGACAGTAAGGAATACCAGGCAAGAGCTCACTGCCTTAGTGGGGGCAATCCAGGGCACAAGCCGGCTACTCCAGATGGATGTCTTTTTTTTTTTTTTTTTTGAGTCAGAGTCTCACTCTGTTCCTCAAACTGAAGTGCAGTGGCACAAGCCCGGCTCACCACCACATGGACCTCCTGGGCTCAGATGATCCTTCCATCTTAGCCTCCCAAATAGCTGGGGCTACAAGCACACACCACCACACCCAGCTAATTTTGTAAATGTTTTGTAGAGATGAGGTCTTGCTGTGTTGCCCAGGCTGGTTTCGAATCCCAGGGCTCAAGCAATCCCCCTGTCTTGGCCTCCCAAAGTGTTGTTGGGCTTACAGGTGTGAGCAGCCATTTCCAGCTCTGATGCCTCTTGAGCAAAGGTCAGGAAGTGACTCAGGCCTTGGATTCTGCTGACACTGACCCCCGTCCTGGGCCTGACTGGGCCCATGTCTACACGGCAGCTTGGCAGCCTTGGAGGAGCCCTTAGAGCACCCAGTCGGGGAAGGCCTGAACGGGAGACGAGGAGGAGGGGTCACCCTTGGATGGATGTTACTCCTCTCCAGCCTTGGGCTCTCCTATCTTTGAGCTCCAAGCCCTCTTGTTCTTCTCCCCAGACACCAACCCAGTGTTGTCTTGCTGGTCTCTACCCTATGAACATGGAGGCAGGGGTTCAGGAAGGCCACTTTGGAACGGGACCTGAATTTCCAGTCTCTGTCCCTACCCACTGTGTGACCTTGGGCAAAGTCCTTTCTTCTCTCTGAGTTTCAGGGTGCTCCTTGCAAGATGGGGATGATATTAATTGTATGACAAGTACATTTAAAGAGTCCAAGTACAGTGTAAGCATATGTCTCACAATAACACAAGGAGGAAGCTCTGTCTTTTTTTTTTCATTCTGTTGCCCAGGCTGGAGTGCAGTGGCACCATCATGACTCGCCACAGCCTCGACTTCCTGGGCTCAGGCCGTCCATCCTTCAGCCTCAGTCTCCCGAGTAGCTGGGACTACAGGCGCATACCACCACGCCCAGCTATATTTTTTCTGTTTGTAGAGTAGGGGTCTCGCGACGTTGCCATGCTGGTCTCAAACTCCTAAACTCAAGCAATCCTCCCTCCTCGGCCTCCCAAAATGCTGGAATTACAGGCGTGAGCCACCACACCCAGCCAGAGGTAAGACCTTTCAACACCTCTGGCCAGAGATCACCGGAAACACACCCATGAGTGAACAAGTTGAGTAGTTGAGTTTCTTACTTGTTGCGGCAAGGGGGAGCAGGCACCATGGGGATCGTAGGGTGTCTCAGTGAGGGGGACTTACAAGGCATGGGCTTGAGTTAGGTGATTTGGGGAGGTTTTAAGGAAGTGGGGCTTTGCTCTGAATCGGATGCTGGCAGGAAGTGGGGGTTATGCTGTGACAGGGTGTCTTAATAAATCTTGCCTAAAAGGAGAGCAGACTAGATCAAAGCAGCCCTCACTCAGATTAGCCCCACAGGGGGACGTCTGGTCATTTTTGTGGTCTGGACCATATGCGTGTTTTGTCTGTGTTCAGATAAGATTATGGAGGGATCTCGTTTTAGTCTGGGTCCAGCCCGTCACAGTTGGCCTTGCCCCACATCGGCATTTGTGAAATTGTCTATGTTTGGCAGAAGCACAGCAAGATGGAGCTGGGCCAGGCCAGCCCTGAACACCCAAGTCCTGGCTGACAGGACTGGGCGACTTCTAGTTGGCAGGCAGGGCTGTTTTGGTCTGTCCTGATGCTAGCATTCCCCTCGTACAGGTGAAAAGACCAAGGCTCAGAAAGGTTAAGTAATTTGCTCAAGGTCACACATACTTGAGAAAGTGGTGACCCCTATCTTCAAGCCTGGCATCGGGCTCCGAGTCTGCACATTTAACCACCGACTGGAATGCCTGGTGCCCAGCAGCAGCACCCTGAGAATGGCTATCATGGCGGTGCTGTCTTCCTCACCAGGCTGCAAGCCTCTGGAGGGCAGGAACATGGTTTAGGAACTGATGACTGGCTTCCTAGAGACTGAGTCCAAAGCCCCACGTGATTAAGAGGCTGTCATGTCCCCCACTCCAGGGTAGGTATCCATCTCACCTCAGGAGTACAGTAGCTCCTTGAAAGCCGAGGTGTCCTCACTGTCCCACACTCCAGGGCCAGCACTCACATCCTCGGCACGACTGGCCGTGAGTCCTCCACAAAAATGAGAATTATGACCCATAGGGGTGGAACAGGCAAGGGAGCCCAAGAGCTCTGGCCCCAGCTCTGAGAGTCCCATATTCCTTTGGGGCTTTCAAAACTCCATGAATCAACCCAAGTCCCAAGGAGGAGGCAAGGAGAGGCGGGAGGAATGATGGTTCTCATGAGGGCTGCTCTGAGACTTGTTAAACTGTGTGATCCCATACAAGCTGGATGACTTCTCTAAGCCTCAGCTTCCTCATCTGCAAAATGGGAGTGAGTGATAATCCCCACCTCACAGGGCCTTTGGGAAGGCTGAAATAGATGACATGAGAAGTGGCCGATTCAGGGCCTGGCACACTGTAGGTTTCTCACCAGATTCTCCTCTCCCGATGGACCGGGAACAGCACCAGCTCTGCCCAGATACTCTGGCTACTTGGGCTCAGGCACCACACTTCAGCTGTTCAGTCCCTGTTCCAGGCGAGAGCACAGTGGCATGATCATAGCTCACTGCAGCCTCAGACTGCTGGGCTCAAGTGACCCTCCTGCCTCAGACTCCTGAGTAGTTGAGACTACAAGCATAAGCCACCATGCCTGGCTAATTTTTTATTCTTGATTTTTTTTTTTAGAGATAGGGTCTCGCTATATTGCCTAGGCTAGTCTTAAACTCCTGGGCTCAAGCAATCCTTCTGCCTCGGTCTCCCAAAATGCTGGGATTACAGACATGAGCCATCATGTCTGGCCCACATCCAACTCCTTTATTAAGTTTTTTTTGCCAAATACCCAGCCCAAGCATTTATTTACCCAGTCATTCAACAATATTTACATATTGAGGGTCAACTATGATCCAGGGACTTATCTGAGTGTGGGGAATGTAACAGAAAAGAAACAGAGAAAAGTCCGACCAGGTGGAGCTGACATTCTTGTATGGGAAGCGGATGAAGATCCAGTGATCAATTGTATAGTGCTAGATGGAACCACATAAGACTGTTGATATTCAGTAATGACATCTGGGTCAAGCAGATGCAATGGCAGGCGACATTAAGTGCTATGGAGAAAGGAAACCTGCATAAAGCTCTAAAGGACTGTGAGGCCAGGTGTGGTGGCTCAAGCCTGTAATCCCAGCACTTTGGGAGGCCAAGGTGAGCAGATTGCCTGAGCCCATGGGTTTGAGAACAGCCTGGGCAACTTGGCAAGACGTCATCTCTACAATAAATAAAAAATTAGCCGGGCGTGGTGGCGCACGCTGGTAGTTCAGGCTACTTGGAAGGCTGAGGCGGAAGGATTGTCAGAGCCCAGCAGGTCGATGCTGGGGTAGCCATGAGCGTACCACTGCACTCCAGCCTGGGCGACAGAGTGAGACTCCAACTCAGAAAAATAAAATAAAATTAAATTAAATTAAAATTACATAAAATAAAAAAACAATAAGAATAAAATAATAAACATAAAGTAAAATAAATAAAATAAGACCACGAGGCCTGCCTTAGACGGGGTGGTCAGGGAAGGTGTGTCTGTGGACGCAACATGTGAGCAACCCCGGATGGGTGGAGGAGTGAAGCCAGCAGGTATCTGGGGAAAGAGCAATTATCTGCCTCTGAAACCCGTCAGGGGACACGTGACCTGCAGGCCAGTCATCTCCCCAGGCCTCCAGCCTCATTCCTCCTGTGCCTGTCCCTTCCCCTACTCCTGCAGCCTCTGCTAAGTCCCTTGGGGACCAGCTCAGAGCACCGGGGACCCCTTCACTAGCCTCTGAACACTTGAGGGGGTGCCCGGCCCCTCCTGTGTGGCCCTCAGCCCCGCCTTGACTCCCCAGTACCTCTTTCCCGTCTTGGGGGCTGGTCAGCAGACTGGGGGCCTGAGCAGAGCATCCATCCCAGGAACAAAAGATCAGGCACTCCCCTTCTCACAGGCACCCCTACAAACTATCCACCTCCGCCTTCCTCCCCCTCGGCTGTGACACCCCCTGGTGGAGGACAGGGGTAGAGACGCTCTGCTAAACTGGCATCTCACAGCCCAGCCCTCCTTCTGGGGCCAAGAACAGGGGTCCCCCACCCTCTGGGCTGCCGGCCAGTACCCGTCTGTGGCTTGTCAGGAACCCGGCCCCACGGCAGGAGGTGGGCGGCAGGCTAGCGGAGCTCTGTCTACCGGGGTATTAGCAGTGGTTTTAGATTCTCATAGGAGCATGACCCTTGTTGTGAACTGCGCCTGCGAGGGGTCTAGGCGAAGCTCTTTAGGAGAGTCTAATGCCTGATGGTCCCCCACCCCCATCCATGGGAAGATGGTCTTCCACAAAACCCGTCCCTGATGCTACAAAAGTTGGGGACTGCCGGCCAAGACAATTTCCCCTCTTCCCATCTAACTGCACACCACCTTCCCACTCCACCCCAAGACTCACCTCCTTGTACCCAGCCCCCAGGATGGTGCTCTTGACCCAATCCTGCCAAGATGTGGCCAGGGGAAGGTCTGGTGCCCAGGCCTCCCTCTGCTCCATTTGCTCTCTGCCTTGTCCATGGGAGGGTAGCATGCATCGTGACACTAAGTCATCTGTGTCGTCCCCTGTGAGCTGTCCATCTCTACCACCAGAACATGACTCTGTGAGGGCAAGTGCAGTATTGTGGCCACTGCTGAGTCCCAGCACCATGTCTGGTCCATGGTAGCAGCTCAATAAATACTTCATGAGCTGGGTGCGGTGGCTCACATCTCTAATCCCCGCAATTTGGGAGGCCGAGGTGAGAGGATTGCTTGAGCCCAGGAGTTCAAGACCAACCCAGGAAACATACCAAGACTTCGTCTCTATAAAAATTTTTTTTTTTAGAAATTAGCTGGGTGTGGTGGCATGCACCTGTAGTCCCAGCCACTTAGAAGGCTGAGGTGGAAGGATTGTCTGAGCTGAGGAGGTCGAGGCTGCCATGTGACATGATCATTGTAATCATGCCACTCTAGCCTGGGTGACAGGGTGAGACCCCCTCAATAAAAAAAAAAAAAAAAAGACAGTAAATAAGCTAAGTGCAGCTTCTACCCTTACTAAACTCTGCCAAACTGATTCCAATGTATGACAGTTTTAGTTTTTGTGCAAATGCATTAGCCTCTTCCTGCATGGTTTCCGAGTTTTGTGACATGCTTTGAATACCCTTCTCCATTTACATATTTGATCTCTCTGGAAATGAGTGTGGCTGAAGGTGGCTATCCAGGTGTTTCAACACCATTTATTGACACAGATCACCGAATAATATGCATCCATTTAGCAAGTTATGTATTTGTCCAGATTTAGGAAATTTCCTAGGAGTTACACCAACCTGTCAACAGTTACTATTTCTAGGTAATCACCGGAAACATGTTATTACCTAGCTACATTTAAATTTTGTTCAGGCAAGGTGTGGTGGCTCACACTTGTAATCCCAGCACTTTGGGAGGTCAAGGAGGGAGGATTGCTTGAGTTTAGGAAGCAATCCTAGCAATTGAGGCTAGCATGGGCCACATAGTGAGAGCTTATCACTACAAAAAATTTAAAAATTCTCGGAGGCTGAGGCAGAAGGATCGCCTGGGCCCAGGAGGCTCCGACTCAAGAAATAATTTTTTTCAACAATGAACACATTGCATTTGTGTCACATAAGAATAATGGTTGTTAGAAAAAGTAACATGGCAGGTGCTTCGACACTGGTAAGATCAGTATACGTTATAAAAAGACAAAGAGGGCACACCTGACTCAATCAGAGGCTGGGGAGAGATAAGTGGGGTGGGGTGGGGGTTCATTTCCTAACCTCAGAGAAGGGTGGGACTTGTCCAGATGGGAACACTCCCCACCACAAGCACTGTGTCAGCAACCATTATCAGATAGTCATTGCTACTGTCTCACTGGGCAGAGCTGTGGGTGGTCCTGTTTTTGCACAGGACAATCAGCTCTGTCATGCTGAGCAATGGCCCAGGGGAAACTAGTCTCCACATCAAGGCCTGGATGATGACCTTGCACCTTGCCCTGGGAACAGGTGGTGAAGCCAGCCAATCAGGTCCAGGTAACCCAAGAGGCCTGGGACACCCAGGCTGAACGCCATTGTCTGTCAGCTGAGCGCAGGGAAGTGGGTCAAAGGTGCATCTGGCCCAGAAATGGCCTCAGCAGCAGGTGCTCAGGGGTCTGTCCTAGGGGTGCCAGGGAGATGGTCCAGTCATCATTTACCATCGACCCCATTAGAACATCAACTCCGTGAGGGTGGCATGGCGGTTGGACTTTTCTTCTTTCGCATATTCCCAGTGCCTGACAGGCGGAAGGCCCCGAATAGATCTTTGTAGACAGGTTGAATGAGGGTGCAAGGCACTAGAATGCCTTCCAGTTCCCTTTCTTCTTCCCTGTTATTTCCATTTTAAAGTGGCAGGCTGAACGCAGTGGCTCATGCCTGTAATCCCAGCCCTTTGGGAGGCCAAAACTGGAGGATCACTTGAGCCCAGGAATTCAAGACCAGCCTAGGCAACACAGTGAGACCTTGTATTCACATAAAATACAAAAATTAGCTGGGTGCGGTGATGTGTGTGTGATGATGCTTGTAGTTCCAGCTATTCGGGAAGCTGAGGCAAGAGGACCGCTTGAGCCCAGGAATTTGAGGCTGCAGTAAGCTGCGATCATTCCCCTGCACTCCAGCCTGGGGGACAGAGCGAAACCCCAACACTAAAAAAGTGGCAGACAGATAGGGAAATAGCAGGAATTATCTGGATCATGGCCATCAGTCACCCTCAGTAATCTGTTGATTCTTTTTTTTTTTTTATGAGTTGAAGTCTCACTCTGTCGCCCAGACTGGCTCACTCTGTCACTGCTCCCAGCCACTGCAGCCTCGACCCACTGGGCTCCAGCAATCCTTCCGCCTCAGCCTTGTGAGTAGCCAGAACTACAGGCATGCACTACCATGCCCGGCTGATTTTTTGATTTATTGTAGAGATGAGGTCTCACCAAGTTGCCCAGGCAGGTCTCTAATTCGTTCAATTGCTGTGTATCCAGCTTGACTCACACAGCAAGGCATAGCAAAGAGAATCAGAGCTCTTTTTTTTTTTGAGTTGGAGTCTCACTCTTTTGCCCAGGCTGGAGTGCAGTGGCATGCTCACAGCCACCACAGCCTCCACCTGCAGGGTTCGGATGATCCTTCCACCTCAGCTTTCCAAGTAGTGGGAATTACAAGGATTAGGTGTGCCTTCTGTATGTACCCTGGGTTGATCAGTGGTGGCACTGATCACCCTGCTTTATCATGGCCTGCTGGGGCTAATTTTTTGATGTATTGTGGAGATGAGGTCTCGCCAAGTTGTCCAGGCTGGTCTCGAACCCGTGGGTTCAGACAATCCTCTCACCTCAGTCTCCCAAAGTGCTGGGATTATAGGCGTGAGCCACCGCGCCTGGCAGAGCCCAATTCTTCTAACACGTGTCACTTCTTCCACAGGGAACTTCCACACAGCATTACTTCTTACATATTTGGGTTTTTTCTTTGGGTCATCTTTGCTTCTAAAGGCTTTCATTGGAAGAAGACAAACTGATTTGCAAGGGATTAAAAGACGATGGTGCTGTACTGAGTCGGTCAAGGAGGACTGAGTCTTCTGTATGTCAGGTATCAAGTGAGGTGGTAGAACAAAGCAGTGGACAAGACACAGTCTATGCCCCAATGACATGCAGCCTTAAGTTCATATTTAGGATTTACTGTATGCCAAGGGCTTCATGTGTTAACTCATTTAATCCTCTCAACAACCTTATGATATAGGCTCTGAGAGATTAAGTAACTTGCCCAAGATTGCACTAGTAGGACAGCGGGCTGTGGTTTGAACTCAGGCAGACCGGCTCCAGAGTCTGAGTCCTTTTTCTTTTGGAGTCGGCTTCTCACTCTGGCTGGAGTGCAGTGGCACGGTCATGGCTTGCCACAGCCTCGACCTCCTGGACTCAGGCGATCCTTCTGCCTCAGCCTCCCAAGAAGCTGGGGCACACCACCACACTCAGCTAATTAAAAATTTGTGTGTGTGTGTGGAGATGAGGTCTGTGTTGCCCCGGCTGGTCTCGAACTCCTGGCCACAAGCGAACCTCCTGTCTCAACCTCTCAAAGTACTGGGATGACAGGAATGAGCCACCATGCCTGTGTGTCCTTAACCTTTATATGTCTTTTCTCTTGAGCGGATGTGACAAACAGCAGGCCATGATAAAGCAGGGTGATCAGTGCCACCACTGATCAACCCAGGATACATACAGAAGGCACACCTAATCCAGGCTGGAGGATGGTCAGGGATTTACAGAGGGAGTGATATCAAGGCTGAATAGAAGAACGAGTCAGTTAGCCCAGAGGAACAGAGCAGAAGAAGAGGGTTCTAGGCAGAGGGACCGTTGAGCACAAAGGACAGGAGAGAAAGCAAGCATGTAGGGACCTTGTGTATTTAGAGCAGTGGCAAAAAGGAGAACCAGAGATAAGTATGTTCATCTTCTGGAAGATAGAGTAAGAGTCTGGCTTAAACTCTTTTGGCTGAAGGGAGGGAAGGTGCACTTCTATCCAGATGAGTAAGGAAGGGGGAGAGGCTGGGACCAGGAAGAGAGGCCCCAGTGAATGCCCAGTCGCAGCTGCCAGGGACTCTGCCCCTCTTTGGCCAGCAGCAGCCAGAAAGTCCTTGTAGAAATTGTGCCGAATGGCTATTTTTCTTGATTTTTCTTTCAAAAAGCCAAGAGAGGTGTGTCTAACATCAATGCCGTAAAGTTCTTTGGAACCAGGAGTCTTTCAACATTGACACCAGGATGATCTGTTGAACGCAGCCTCAGTGGTACTGTGTGACTCTGCTTGAGAATGAGACATCATATGACTAGAATATGCAAGAATGTAAGTGGACTAATGTCCAGTAGGAGCTCAATAAAATAACTAGTTTTTAGCAGGGAGGGAAGGAAAGTAGGGGAAGGAAGACAACAGGAAGCCAGGTCTGTCCTTCCATGTGGAGGTTTCACGTCTTAGGACTATGGGTCTGGTCTCTGAATTATTTGGTCGGTCTGCAATTCTCAGCGGGCGCACTTTGGAGGCCTCTGCTGTCGCTTTTGGTTGTCACAACGATTGGGAGTATTGCTGATATTGAGCATGCAGAGGCCAATCTGCAGAGTGGGATCCTCAACAAGAATTGCTTCATCGCACAGACAGACATACTGGTGGACATTCAGGAAGGTGGGAGAAACCCATTTATGTTGATCTGAACCTAGACTGTAACTTGGTTTTACATATAAAACAAACACTCTTTGCAGATTAATACACTTAATTTCCCAGGGTTACAACCGAGCAAATAAAAACATTCTAATTGGTTTTTTGAAATTTTGCCATAAGTTGCTTACCAATTTCAGAAAGTCATGAGTAATAGCAGTCAATCATGGTATCTGAGTTGCCAAGGAAACTCAACTGTAGCAGTAAACGTGTAGCTGTCACATTCAAGGTGAATCTATGGATGGGTGCAAGCAACTACTTCATTATGTCTTTAATGTGGTGAAGCCACAAGTGTTTACATATTGAAATGTATTTTTCCTTTGCTCATTATT